CTGCCTTCTGCAGTCAGATTTAGCTTTTAGGGAAGTGAATCCACCTCTTGAAGTTCTGCCTTTCCACTGACTAGAAAGAGCATAGGGAATCAGAGGTCCTGCATGAGGAGAAAGATGAGGCCATTGGTGAGCTGACATGGACAGAACTGGTCCCCTTATTTGTGGGGGACAGTTCGAGTTCCTGTTTGATCCTAAAACAAGACAGTTCCTTGCTCAGACCAAGCAGTCTGGGAAGATGCTTGGATTATTTCTCTTGCTTCTCCCTGGCAGTTCCCAGGCAGTGTGCTGCTCCCTGTACTGTGGGCAAAGAGGGAGGGAAGAAGAGGAGCCTCAAGTAAAGGGTAAGGTTACATTGTGCAGAGGACTGCATTGAAGATGTGTTGAGAAGCTGTGTAACAGCCTGTCCTGGAAACGCCATCCTTACCCTGCTCATGGCTGCTGCTTTTCCTGACCTCTGACTGATCTCCTTCCGCAGTCCTGGTCTGCATGAAGAACTTGTCTGCCTTCCTGTTCTGCAGCTGAGATGCGACCTTCTCTTCCCATATTGTCTGGCCTGGGCTAGACCAGCTTTCCTTGTTAAGCATGTGCCCTGCTTCCCTATAGAAAAGCAGTATGCCTTGCTTCCAGTGAATTATATTTGACTTCAGTGGTTTGCATCGTGTGCAGTGCTTCCTGCTGCATTGCTGTAACAGCTTATTCTATCATTATATTTTGTCAAAAGAGGGTGCTGAGGGACAGAAAGCAGTGACATTCAAAGTAGTCTATGGCCAATGAGCCACCTCCAAGAGACACCCCCTGAGACCTGTGACTCCTCCTGGAGGAGTTCCTGTTCTACTGACATTTTTTCACCCCGAAAAATCCCTTTCAGAGGAAGGGAAATAAATGATGGTTAGAGGTGGCCTGAAACAGAACTAGCAGGGTTGGGGAGGGAGAGGGCTGTCTTGTCTGGTTTGATATGTTGCCACAAAGTTATTTATGCTTCCTGCTATTTATCTTAGGGCTAAATGAGATAATTAAGTGAATACAGCAATAGAACTCCATTCATCTGAGTTCTCAGTATCTTGGAAATGGTATTGTGGCTGCTTCGCAGACAAGCCAGTCTCTCTCCCTTGCTTTAAGTGTTTTGCTTCTGGCACAGATCACATGGAGTGCTTTACCTCACCTTAGCTGAGGACAGGAGCAAAGAATGTTGCACAAGGCCCCAGGATGAATCCAGGACGTGAGCAGAGCCCTCAGCTGTAAATCTCTGCTCCTCAGCCTTCCCCTTTCATTCTTGACCCTGGTGTTTTGTACCCTTTCACACACAGTCCATTATCTTCTGTTTCTTCTGCCTGTTTTTCAGAGTGAGTGACAGATGTACTGCATGAGGTAGTTATCTCTGAGAGAAGCTCTGCAAATGGTCTGTCTGCAACAGTGTAGGAGGACTGAAAAAGTGTCATTATTTCTCTTCTCCTGTGTAAGTCCTTGGTTTTCCATAGCAGGGCCTGGGATGTGCTGCAGAGAAATCCGAGTAGGATGCTGCAGTGTATGATCTCAAGAGTGAGGAAATCCCTGCGGGATAATGCTGAAACACTCTGGAAAGACTAGACCTGAGTGCATGAGGCACTGTGGTAGCCCCCCAGGGGTGGTACCTTGTCTTCCAAGCAGAACAAATACTTGCTATTCCAGGTCCTATTTCTATCATTCCATCCCTGTACCTTGAATGATTAATTTCTGCATTAACTTTTGGCCAGTTCAGGCTCTTTCTAAGTCAGAAATGTTTAACATCATGGAAATTACACATTCCTGGTAGGTTCCCAGCCCTCACAGTAGACAAATTCCAGTCCTTGAGCTCCCTACAGCCTTTAAGGTATTCATTCATGGGATTTTGCCAGTTAGTGGCAAAATTGGTGCAAGTTATTCTGCAGTGTCCTGCTATGATTGCAAGCATCCAGCCTCAGACAGACCTGCCTGGTAAAGAAAGGTCATCTCCTGAGCTGTGTACCTTGAGGAGGTCAGGGTAAAGGTACATTACACACTCCTGGCCTAGCTGTTCCAGGGAGTGGGGAAAGCTAAGCTGTGTGTGCTCTTTTGGAGAAGACTGGTTGTCTACCCCATGGGGCAGCATAATCCTTTGGAGGCTTGTGTCAAAGTTCTGTAGTTTTAGTATTTGTCTTCATGTAGTATCCATTGAAGAAAGCTCTTCTTGCAGAAAGACTGTCCTGGCAGAGCTGGGAGGATGTCTTTGGGAAGACAGCAGCTCTTTTTCCAGTTGGAAGGAGCTGAAGCTGCCACAGTCTAGCTTTTTCTCTAGGACAGGAGAATTCTTTCTGAGCCATAGCTGTAGAAACTTGCTGTGCTGATTGATGTGGAGGCTTGAAAGGACACACAGGCACCAGGAATCTGCACTTGTGAGAATATACAGATGTAGTTTAAACACTAATTCAGTCTTTCTGGAAGTTCTAGGAAAAGGAGAAAATGTTACAAACTCTAAGAGACTGCCAAGGCAAGTGTGTGTTCTTCTGAAGTCTCCCACACCAGGCACAGCACTCCCTCCTGCACAGAGCCCAGAGCTGGTCAGGAGAGCAGTGCAGTAACAGTGCTACATGTGCTTCCTGCTCTGGTTATTGTTTTGAAAACCTGCTCACTGGGCTACAGAAGCAAAACTGCAAGTCCTTGACTCCTGAAATTCTTCATAAAAACACTTCCACCAAAAAAAAAAAAAAAAGAGTTGGGTTTGATCTGCAGTCTGAAATATTTGATTAGAACATCAAAGGGAGTTTGGAGAGGAAGGGTTGCTTGGTAGAATTAATGTTGCAATTTACCTGACTCCTCTCCAACTCTAGATATTTCTGACATGGATGTTGTAATCTAATTTCTAAATTCCTGTATTTCCCAAATATTTGGCATTTGGCTTTGTTTTTCATTGGAACCTTCTGAAAAGTCAGTACTTACCTAGACAGTTTGGTGTAAACAGTCACTGAATCATGACAGTGCTCTTCTGTACATGTTTATATATGCTTATAGGAAACAGGGCTGTGATCTAAAGGCTGTTCTGATCAGTATCAGTGTGTGGGAAATTTAGGTAGAAGCCTTTCTGATGGTTATTACAGTATAACTAAGCTGCTAACAATAGTGCTCTTCCAAATCATTAAAAATGTGCTTACAGCTTCAGTAGCAATTAATGGCATCTTTGTCCTGGTGATGCCTGTTGCTTTGAACTGCTGCACATTAAGGGCTAAATCCAGCCACCACTGAAGCTGAAAGAGATCCTTTAGTTGGACTTGACTGGCCTTTATAGAAGCAAAGTTCTTCAGACTGGCTGTAGTATTCCCTTGAACAGAATTTGTAAAAGGTTGGAGATATGGGTGAAAGCTATTGCTTACAGGAGGGCTTCAAGGTCTTCCCCTTTTCCCCATCCCTGACTGTCGGAGAGATCAACAACCTTTCTGTACAATATGCAGGTGGTTCTTCTAAAACCAGATACGGATTATAGACAAGCTACTGAGACTGTTAGGTGTCTCCTAGAATATTTCATGAAGAGAAGCTGGTCAGCATGACAGTGACGCTAACTTGGGTTTGGAGGTACCAGGGTACATGGTTGGTGACAGCAGGGACTCACAGGTCACAGAAGGGACTACTACGCTGGAGTGAGTTCATTTTCTAGGGTCCAGGAGGACATGGATTTTGAAGGAGCAGAACAACCTAACATCAGAGAAAGAGATCCCTTGTGATACCTCAGATTAAACACCCAGAATAAACGCAGTTCAGGTCTGAGGCTTATATACACACGAGATGACCTTTTCTATCCTATAGCCACTTTGTGGAGCCTCAGTCCCACCTCGTAAGTTTAAAAAAAAAAAAAAAAGCTTTGAAGCACTCTTGTATGTACATGGCTTATAGTTGGTAAGCATGGTAGTGTGAGTCTTCTGCTATGTTCCTTTGGAACAGGCTACAACAGAGAAAGCAAGACTGGGGGAGTTAGCATGATGTTGGGCAAAGCCAATATGTTTGTGACTATGCACAGATAAGATCTTGCACTTAAATAGCACTTCTTATTCAAGGTGGTCATTGGAAAAATGATATGCATGCAACCTTTCTCTTTTTTGTTGAAACTGTGTTCTCTAAGGCACTGCTGATAAAGCAGGTGATGTTCTGAAAGGTTTATCAGAGTGAAGAATGCTTACTTCTTGCTTAAACTTCCAAAGTGACTAAGCTCTGGAAGAATGAACAGTAGCTGTTTGCCTATCATTAAATCACCAGGAATAGGCCTTTTCTCAAGAGCAGCTACAAAGTCTGTGGTGATGACTCTAGTTTGGGCTGTACATGTTAAATTACATCCAAGACATAGTCCCTAAAATAGTGCAGTGCCCTAATGCTGTGCTTGCATGCTGCCTCACCGCTGAGTCATACACTGCTTCCTGAAGAGCTCACATTCTCCTGTGGAATCTCTGCTCAGCACTGCCCACACCCAGTCCTGTTGAGTTCTGAGATGGGCAAGTCATAGCCTGGGGTCAGATGGTTGCAAGCTGTGCTTATGGTCTGTGTTCCTAAGACTGCGAAGATGATGCTTTCCCATCCGAAAAGCAGCTGGATGACTCTCGCTCATCCCCTTTGCTTGCTCGTACACAGCTATGCTGGTCGGGACCTGCCTCTGAGTAATCCCCTTGCCTTCTCTGAAGGGTGGTGTCTTAATAAGGGAAATGACACATGGTTTTGATAAAATTTATGAAAAAACATCCCTAAATAACCAGGATATTTGTTTAAATCTTATTCCTTAGAACTGTAGTCTCCAAAATTTTTGATGGCATATCCCTTTCAGTCAAAAGTTGCCATTAGGAAGAACATCCCCAGTGCAAACTTCATGTAAACTTTATCTGTATTTTATTTAGTAATGCTCAGAATCTAGGAGCATGCAGGCTTGGGTGGCTGGATGGCGGTGGAAACAGGTTGGGAGGGATGAAGCTCTTGCTGCCTGTTGCTCTGGCAGGCTCTGGGCGTGTGGGAGCAGCTGCCCTTGCAGATGGATGGGCAGTGCTGGGGCCAGGAGGTGCTTCAGCCCGTCGCTTGGCATGTGGAGGTGCTTTCCATTTGATGTCAACTCTCCTCTTGCACTGCTCCAGCAGCTGGGGATGCTCTCTGTTAAAGCTGGGGTTGTAGTAGTAGAGAAACAAGCAAAGGAGAAGAGTTAGTTGTCACCATCCAGGGACTGGAAGCCCTCAAGCTATGAGAACTAAGACTGAATTGCAGAAGACTAGCACGGATCCTGAAAAGGCCTCTGAGGGGTGTTTGAAACCTAAAGTTCAGGCTAAAATGTTCCTGATGGTCCTGTGCAGTCATTGGCACCCCTGGGATTTTGCTGTCTGGGAGCAGAGCAGTGCAGGATTTTCAAAAGCCTAAGAACTACTTTTGAAAACCCAGTACCATGACTTTTCAGCAACTTCAACCTACACAGGAGCAGGCAGGTAATAGTATGGTCCTTAGATGTATTTTCTCAGCATTCAGCAGATGCCACAGGAAGGTGTTAGGTTCGGTAGAGCAAGACATGGAGCAAAGACATTAAATAAACCATGTTATGCTGAGTCTGCCGTTGCACTTGCTGAATTCACACTAAGCAGATGCAAACAAACTGTATTTTATCTGTGTCTCTACTAGTCGGAGAGACTAACTGAAACCTTCCTGAAAACAACCTGGGAAGGAAATGAAAGACAGACTGCTCACTGCCATCCCCATCTCCTCCTCTGCTGCAAGGCCTTATTTGATGTGTGGGTCCGTCTCTCCCCCAAGATTATGGAGAGTGTTGGTTGATGACTTGATGATCTTAAAGGTCCTTTCCAGCCTAGCTGATTCTATGATTCTATAATCCTGTGTGCAGGTCGACTGCTGTACCTTGCTGTGAGAAGAGGCTGCTGCTTCCTCAGCCAGGAATTCAGGCAGGGAGGCAGATCTTTGGAAGTCCGGCTGTACTTTTGTGAACCCATAGATGTTCAGTTGCCGAATGAAAGACCCCATCTTCTGTGTGGCAAAAACCCTGCCCAGCACCTCCTCTGAGAAGAGAACTTCATTGATGGCCACGCATTGTCCTCCCTCACTCCACCAGATGGACCGAAACTGGTCGCTCTCCAAGATCTTCCAAAGCTTCTGGGGAAAGCAGAGGCCTGAGAATTCGGTGTCTCAGCCTCTGCTCCCGTTGGAAAGAGGAGGGACTCGGGTGGTGTCATGTCCCTCGCTCCCGGGTTGCACGTCCCGCTCCTCCTGTATTGCTGCTCCCGCTGTGTCACAGGGTGCTGTTTCCCCCTGTCCTGGAGGGCCGGCAGGAGTCATGTCTGCCGACTGCCCCAGCTCGTCCTGAGCAGAAAGGGACGGTGTTGGTGCGGGAGACGGCTCCCATTCCATGTCTGCTGTCGCCCGTGGACCGACGGCTTGCTCAGCAGCCACCGCCCTGGAGAACCAGGCCTAGTCCCGCCAGCCAGCGAGGAGAGGCCGCTGGTGCTGACTGACTGTGGGTACCAGCGGGTGCTCCCACATATCACTGGGGTGCCCGTTCTGCACCGTGGTGATGTTGTAGTGATGTTGGAAGACAGTGGCCTGGCAGCAGAGAGCAGCAAGGGGAGACATGGCTGGAGAGCCCTTGTGTTGCTTTCCTCC